TACGAAAGGATTTTTTATTTTATTAAATAATTTAAAAGGGAAGAGAAATTTAAGAAATTTATTTTTTTTTTTAAAAAAAAAATATTTTTTTTTTTTTTCTTTGTAAGCTCTTTATATATTAATGGTGTTATTTAAATAGTTTTTTTTATACATGTAAATGATGACAAAAGGGACAAATACAAACGGTGTGCTTATGAAATATTCCGGTTTAAATAAATTTCTTTTGTTTGTTTCGAATAGTTAAATATATATTTATTCAAAAGGTTCGAGACGTTCGGGATAGTTTATTCATTATTAATTAGTATATATATATATATATAATAATAAAGAATAATTTTAAAATGTATATATTTATGTATATATTTATTGTATTTTATGCAAGAAGGGATGAAATAATAATCTAATAATGGGATAAATAATAATATTATTATACAAGTATTTTATTATACAAAAATAAACTCAGTAATTGATGAACTCGAGAGGAACGAATTGAAATGATTATTAAAATTAATAAAATGTGGAACGAGAAAAAAAAAGCGAAGAAATCAGAAGAAGAATTCAAAATGATTTGCATGTCTATAAAAAAAAAAAAAAAAAAAAAAAAAAAAGCCCGGATTACTAATTAAGTTATAAAACAAAAGAAATTTCACTTTATATGCTGACTGTCTCGTGATATGTTCAAATATTGCTATATAATATGCATGCATGAAAAAAAAAAAAATAATATATAATGAACGATTTATTTATATCATCTAACATAACAGGTGATTGCTATTTATACATAAATAATTTGACTGTATGTAGCAATCGTACAACATTACTATTAAGAAGCTGGACCGGAGTAAGAACAATGGAGGATGGAAATAGGCTAAGGTTAAAGATGACGATAGGATAAAGTGTTATTTGTGATCCCTTATTAAAAAAAGTTGAGCATCCTTGATTAGGTTAGAGTAACAAAGTTTACCCTTGTAATATACAATAATTTGTTTAAGTAGTATGATATGATACACAAATAAACATTAACAACATATTATAAACACATTGAAAAACAAGTAACAAACAAGTTTTTGTTTTTTTTCGCGATGATGTGACTGGACTAAGCCAAAATTCCAATTTAAACCCATGTTATGTAACACAAATAAATTTTGGCGTAAAAGAAAGAAAATATTGGTTTAAATTTTTTTAAATTCCGTTTCGTTTTCAACCCCCTTTGAAATTCAGCAAGCAAAAGCATTATGAATAAAAATTACGCTGCGTGCGTTTCTAATTAACCGTAATCATTTCCATTTTACTTTAATTCTATCACATGTCGTGAGCAAGGTATTTGTTTTTTTTTTGTATGATTCTCCGGGAAATTTTAATTCAAATTGTAGTCTTTGGTCAACTTTATTTCTCTTTTCTGTTTTAAGAATAATTGATATACCTAATTAGATTAAAGTGACAACATTTTACATATTAATGCAATTACACAACAGATTTCAATACCAGGGTATCAAAGGGTAACACACGCGGTGTAACAGCCATTTTTTTTTTGCGTAACATACAATTTAATTTTTTTATGAAAGACGCGTTATGATCAAATTTATCTATATTATCAGATTAATTTCATACTATATTCAAATTTTATATGTACATATGGAAATTGATAAGAGTGACAAATTTATATCCATTTTCTCATTCAAAAAGAAAGAAACGAAAAGAAAGAAAAAAAAAAAAATTTTTTTTTTTGTCCTCTCTCTTTAAATAATGATCTTTTTTTAGATCGTAAAAGATCGTAAAAAACGATTAAAAAAAAATTGTTTTTTTTTTTATGACAAATTTTTTTAAAACAATATTGATAAATTTGGTAAATATGTAAAAATTTTTTTGACAGGAAATAATACAGGAATAATTGTTTTATTTTGTTATAATCTAAATTTGGTCAAGTTTTTTCTCGCGACAGTTTCTCTAATTGTTAAATTTGGGGAACATTTATACATTTTTATATATCATACAAATATTTATACAAATTTTTATGTTCCTCAGTTAAAAATAATGTTTGTTTTGATCGGTACAACCATGCTTTCAAATATGAGGATACACAGAATCATTAAAGAAATTGGATGTACTAAAAAATAACAAGCAATTATTTACGTCAATCATAAAAAGTTTTTTTTGAAAAAAAAAAAAAAAAAAATATTTCGGTTTCGAAAATTGCGGGATAGTCCCGCATATGCAAGTGTCTGATCAAATCACAATGCGGTAATTAGTAAGGGTCTATGCGAATTATTCGTTTAGTGTGTGTAACATAAATAATGAATTTTTAAACGGGGGGAGATTATAATATTATAATATTGTCATATTATTATAATATATTATATATGGATATATATTTGTATATGCTGTACAGAATAATATAACTGAATATATATACTATATATACTATATATATTGTACATAATTATATAATTTATATATACAACTATATATATAACTATCATATATATATAAATATATATTATATTTTTATATTATTCGAAACGTTATCCCCCGTGTCTGATGACAATCTTGCGTATTTTACGTTATCATTATGCTTAGATTCGGCATTTTAAATTAATTTACCTTTTTCAATTTTTCATGAAAAAGTAAAGATGTAAAGATACAAATCTTACATCGTGTTCCGTTAAAAAAGAGATTATTGCTGTGAATTATCATTTGTTAAATGTACTAATGTAGGTTTCATTTCGGCGGGTATGCCTTGTATAAGGATATAAGGCTGTAATGAATGTATGTACATGATGAGCCCAAACATTTGAAAGTATTACCACCATGAATTTTTTTTTTTCTTTTATAAAAAGTGGTTAGTTTTTTATGCAATGGTAAATTGAAAGGTACATCATTATTTTCTAAAATAAATTTTAGGTTTACACGTATGATCAAAGTCGGGAATTTTGGGATTATTGTCAAGTTTTAGGATTATTGTCACTTGATAAATCTGGTAAAACTATAAGAATGAAGTGTGTACTATATTATAATAAAGATAAACTGGGATGAACACGCTACAACCAACATCCCTATTCATTTATTCTGTATGCTCATGTATTAAGAAAGGTTAAAACTGACCAATAATATTAATTATAATGAGAACGATGATATTTTATTGGTAAAAATTGAACGATTATTTAAAAAAGTATTAAAATATTATTAAAACTTTAAATTTAATTGATAAGTAATGAAAGGCATATTATACAGCCGAAATAGCCGACACTAAACACATTTTAATATATTTTATGATATCATTTATTATTATCTATTTCGAGGCCATTCAATTTGTTTGTTGCATGCATAACATACATAACATTCATACATAAACATAACATAACATACCAATACATATCATACATATTACTTACTTAAAATACATCAATAACTTCGATTTACCGCAGTTTTCCACCTTTCAAGTTTTTTTTTTTTGAAACAATTTTAACCTAAAAATCTTTCTATTGTGTTAAATATGCATTTAAGAGACGCCTCTTGTTAACTATATTTTATTTAAAGAAAAAAAAAAAATTTTTTTTTTCATTTTTTCACCAAAAAGAAATAATGTTTTATTTTTGTGCTTTTTTTTAACAAAAATCAGTGCTTGGTTTACCAAATAAATTTGAACCTAGTTT